AGATAAACCCTAGAATTCATTCTTGAGGAAGTGTTGATATTTTATTCCGGCTTTTCATTTCAACGTAAGTGCGACGTGCTCTTTATCCAAATAAAACTATAGTAATATGTCTGTATTTACTCTTTGAAATGCTAAATATTGTTCTGTCCATTGATCTTGTTAAATAGTCGTATTGTAAAATAACACGGCAATGTGAAAAAACCGTTGGTTTAAAATTATTGATTTATTAGTTGACTTGATCAGTATTTTTAGTTGAACAGTTGCAGCTGGGCAGATGCTGATTGGGCTGAGAATATATGCACATCTCATCGGGGAATTATTGCAACAGCATTCCCATCAACGCGCGCTTTTCGAATGGGAAGTTTAGTCCTAACGTGATTTACATTTCTCAAACTTTTGCTGTGTTCTTACGCAACAAAAGTATCATTTCCAATTCAAAGAATCTATTTTGAGCTATACGCTCGGTAGCTTACTTCCTTTTTTTTGTGTTTCACTAAACTTATTAGTTAACTGTGGTTTTGCCTCAGCTCACTATCGGTTTTTTTATAGTTTTCACGTAAAGACTAGCTTTAGCTTATCGTTAACTGTTTTTATACATTTTTGCCAGTTTTTGTTTACTGTGTGTTTTTTTAACGGTCCTAAATTTACTGCTTGTATTTTTAAGACAGTCTAAATCACTAGCCATGAAAAATTCATGCAAGAGACCTGGTTGCCGTTTAGCTGTTACATCTGGCATGCAATGTGACAACTGCAAAGGTTGGTTCCACGAAACATGTACAGATCTAACAGCAGCAGCCTATAGCAGACTCAGCAAGTCTGATCGTAGGTGGGTATGTGTTACCTGCAATACTGATAACGTAGTTATGTTGGGTACCATCATTACTTTACTGACAGGTCTGAGAGATAAGTTGTCTAAGAATTTGGTAAATGATAGTATCATGACGGGTAACAAAACTGGAAAGCATAGGGCAAATAAGAAAACGGATACTGACAGGTCGGTTATCGACGGTGCTGTTAACAGCACGAGTGATGATGTGCTGAAACTCAACTCCATCTTAACATCGACTGTCATCGACTCCCTCAGTAAAATTGGGCCCCCCGGGGAACAGTCCTTGAATGAGAAAGTGGTTCCCAAAAATCCTGTAGGTGGTTGGACTCACGTTAACAGGAGTAATAAAGCCCAAGCGTCCCCGCCGAAACTGAACATCCCAAGTACCGTGCGGAAATCAATTGATGCTTTGGCCGCACAGTCTACCCCCAAGACTGTCCGCCCGGTCATCACTGAGCCCGGGAATCGAAAACGCGCCTCGACATCCAAACAACAAGATACCAAACCTAAACGCCCTGGAAAACCTGGGAAATCAATTGCGGTTCGTGACGACTCTGTCATAATCATGCGAGGCGTTTTTCCGTGGACGAAATATCATTGTGCAAGGTGTGCCGGAAAATATGGACCCAACTCAAGCAAACTCTGATATTCGGGAATGGAAATTCGTCAAGCATTCCTTAAAACTCAAGAACATATTGACCCAACAGGTAATGAGACTGGCCAAGAGAGACGGAGACTCTAGGCCCCGGCTGCTGAAGATAACCTTCCCCACCTCCCACATGGCGGCTGCAACTCTGGAAGCATTTCGTGCCAATAGACGTCGGTTGCCAACTGGCATCCATATGCATTCGGATAGGCCCCACGACAGCAGGATCAAGCACAAACGAAAGCTGGAGCTGACAATTCCACTCGTGGACTGTCTTGATCATAAAAAAAAACGTGTAAAGGACAGGGACTACCAACTCGGTAAACATCGTGTAGGTAGGCTACCTGTCCACTCACACACTGCTCATATAGACAAACAAGAAGAGGCTCACGCGTTCCAAATTGAAAGCATAAACTGCCTATACACGAACGCCGCGAGCTTGCCAAACAAAATGGATGAGCTACGTGAACTTAGCAACGCTAATGATGCCCATCTGATAGGAATATCCGAAACTTGGATAACGTCTCAGTTTACGGACCAGGAGCTAGCAATAACTGGAATGTCTTTATTTCGCAACGACAGAAAAACAGGAATGGGGGGTGGGGTAGCACTATACATACGGTCATGCCTGGATGCGTACCAACTTCACAACCAAGAGTTTCTCAATCTTGATGAGTCAGTATGGTGCTCAGTAAGATTGTCTACCACCTCGAGGTGCCTAGTTGGGGTCATTTACAGGAAGCCCACTGCCGACATCGAATATGACAAACGTCTGCTGGAAGGATTAACTCGCTCTACGCGTCTCGGATTCTTTCTTATCCTGATTCTAGGGGACTTCAATCTTCCTAGAATCAACTTCGTGGAAAATACATACAATGGTGGTGCCAACTCTACTGAAGCTTTGTTTTTCAACCTTATCGGCGACCTGGAATTATTCGAAAATGTGAAGTCGGCAACCCGTTGGAGAAACAGTCAGAGGCCGTCGCGCTTAGACTGGGTATTCACAAATGAAGGATTCCTAGTTGACGACCTCTCAATCCTGGCTCCCCTGGGGAAAAGTGATCACGCCGTCTTATCATTCAGCTTTGTCAGTAAAACGGTGCTAAGATATTCTACTAGCAACAAGCACTGGAACTTCAGACGGTTGAATGTGTTAGCTTTACAGGACTATCTACAACAGGTAGATTGGGATGTTCACCCTCAAATTGAAGTGGATGCTCGTTGGGACTTTTTACTGCACACGATCTTATGTGCTACTGAGCATTCAGTTCCTAAAATGGTCCCAAAAAGCTACAAACAACCTCCAGTCATCAAGAACAGCAATCGTCCTTTGCTAAGCCGCAAAAGGCACTGTTGGGCTGAATATAAACGAACTGACAATAACGACGCATACGGGCAATATAAACGCATAAGGAACCTATGTTCAAAGGCAATAAGAGAAGACAGGCTTCAGTTCCAGACCAAGCTTGTCGATAAATTCGTCTCCAATCCGAAAAGCTCATTCAGTTATGCAGCTTCTCTTCGACAAGGCAAAACTGGAGTTTCCCAACTGCTTGGTCCTAATGGCCCGATCAATAACGACGGTGATGCTGCCAAACGTTTGGCTGAACAATACTACCAGACATTTCAGCTGACCCACATCAACTATACTGACGAAAGCTTCACCTGCACCTGTACAGGACTTTCCGAAGTGGATCTGAGTGCTGACCTGGTGCTCCGTAAACTGCAGAACCTAAAAAAAGACACTTCTCCTGGTCTGGACATGGTTCATTCAGCTGTATTGAGGGAAGCAGCTTCAATCCTGGCGACACCACTTAGCGTGATGTTTGCACACTCGCTAAGCAGAGGCAAACTACCGGAAATATGGAAGCTGGCCCACATCACACCAATTTTCAAAGGAGGTCGACGCAGTGAACCCTCAAGCTAGCGACCAGTGGCCCTTCTCTCCATACCTTCCAAAATTATGGAATCCCTAGTATTCGACGGCATACTAGAACACTTATCATCCTCAAAGTTCTTCTCGCCTCAACAGCATGGTTTCAAAAAAGGTCATTCTTGTATGACCAACCTGCTGACTGCAGTGGATAGATGGACAACCATTCTTATCGCAAGGGGAAGGTTGACGTCATCTACCTGGACTTCTCAAAAGCTTTTGATGGGGTCAGCCATGTATGTCTTATCAAGACGCTTAGACGATTGGGTATAAAACCCCTTTGATTGATTGGCCCTCTTCATATTTAGAAAACCGACACTTTAAGGTCAGGGTTAACTTCACTCTCTCTCAGGCTATGGAATGTCCTAGTGAGGTCCCCCAGGGCTCAATACTAGGACCTCTTCTCTTCTTGATTTACATTAACGATCTTCCTCAACAAGTTTCATCTGACTTATTGCATTTTGCTGATGATGTGAAACTTTGGAGAGAGATACGTAATCATAATGATATACTGGTTCTTCAGGAGGATCTGACTCGACTTCAAAGTTGGGCAGACGACAACGGACTTACCTTCAACACTTCAACGTCCAAGGTAGTCCATCTGAGACATGGTGCAGACTATAGTTATAACTTAGGTAACTCACCTCTAGAAGTTTCCCAAGTTGAAAAAGATTTAGGAGTGTTGGTACCCTACGACCTGAAATCGTACGCGAAGTGTGACAAAAACGCCTCTCAAGCAAACCTTGCACTGGTAACATTGAAGCGCATTTTTGGCCAGTTGGACGGTAGAACCTTCCACACAATCTTTAACAGTTTTATTCGTCCCCATTTAGAGTACGGAAACATAGAATTTCCTCCCTCCCTCTAAAAGGATAAGGACACTCTGGAACGTATACAACGTCGAGCCACGAAATCAGTTCGGGGACTCAAATTCAAACCTTATGAAGAGCGCCTCCAATCACTTAACCTTTACCCGTTAGAGTACAGGCGTCTTAGAGGTGACCTTCTTATGACTTATAGTATCCTTAATACTTCTGGTCATCTCCTTAAACAACTTCTTAAGCTTAGTCACAACACTAACCTCAGAGGTAACACCCAGAAATTGAAGACCCTACATAGAAGAACAGACTGCAGACACAATTTGTACTCCGTAGGAGCTGTCAAATGCTGGAATTCGCTGCCGACTGAGCTAGTCCAAGCCACTTCCCAAGAGTCCTGTAAGAGAAAACCTGACTTATTCTCAAGGAGTAAGGATAACATATTATTTTGATTTACCGAATTCTCTTTGTTTCCTCTATTATCGCTCATACACCTTGGTTTTTGCCTGGAGGTATTGGTGATCCACTGTTACTAGACACGGAAGCCCGTTAATCGAAAGCTTCTTCTATTCCGTCCTCAACCATTTGAACCACTAACTGATCGAGTTGGCCACTATTTCTCCTTTTTCCACGCAAGACGTTTTCTGTGCAACTCAGGCTTCGAAATTTCAGAATTCAAAATTTCCTATCTCTTGTCATGGAGACTAATGTTTACCACTAAAGTATTGTATATTGTCTCGTAACCTTGAGACTGCTTCAAGGTCTCTCACTCTTATGAAGTTGTGTGCTGTAACGTTGGTAACAGCAAGTTTGGCAATTGTTTAATTTGAAGATTATTAATTTGGAGATCACTATGTAGTGTTGAGTGTTTTCTGTTAGTTGATTGCTCATCAGGCTGAAAAATATATATGAATCCCACCGACTGACTTCATTATTAGCTCAGGCAGATGTTCGAATTATGTACTGCTAACTTACATTGAGGTGCTTGTTTTGCATTTAATCTTTGCATAAGTAGAAATCAGAAATGCATGCTAGACAGTAACAACTAAAAGCGGGCTATTTCAGATGAAATAAGTGCGTCAGTACTTTGAAATACTGAATGTGCGTGCATGCACTAACGAGATTCTCATGAGGTTCTCGTTTGAAATAATAGTCTTTCCTAAAATATGTGCGTAGACCTCGCACTAGGCTTTGGATTTCAGTCATTTACAATGTGGACGCATACGCTTCACAGGAGGACAGACGTTTTTGATGTGTCCACCTTACAACTAGGATCAAACGAGCGTTATAAACCTGTGTGAGGAATTAGAATTCTGATTTAGAGCCGATGGTCAAGGTTAGAGATTAAAATGAGGGTTTTCATCACGAGCTGACATCAGCTGTAATGCCGAAACTATCTAACCAAACGAATGAGTGAATTTCGCTCCAAAATCTGAGACCTGTTATCTTATACCTGATTGGTTCGTCCATAAATTATAATTTCGCCGACAATTTTTACTGTGCCAGATTTGGTACTATAACAAAAGCTTGTCCTCCTGTATAGAAGAAGTGATGCATTTCCATCTTTTAGCAGTCAGTTCTACTGGCCATAGTAGTGGAAGACTAATAGAGATGTGGTGTTGTGAAGTTACTTCTGTAAAATGCTCCCAACTGATGGTGGTAAGAGCCTAGTCATTATTTCCAAGTCTCACAGCTGGTGAATCTATATAGCTCAGAGGCTGTACAGTTGAACAAACTTTGATGTCCACATTTACGTCTAAGAAGTTCCCTGACCTATTTCGTTGTAAATGACAAACGATTGGTTCGTTCGCATGAGGTTATCCATGGTATCATAGAGGATATTTAAATTTAAACTACCCTTTTTCATTAAAAGAGTTAATATCAGCTATACATAATGCTGAAGTAGCTCAGTTTTAATAGATAAAATGTCTGTTCGGACAATGTTAAGTTCAATCACAAACTATCATAGGCTTTAATCCAAAAATAACAAAGTTACCTAAACACTCTTTGTAAGTAGTGATAGAATTTTTGGATAGTCTAATGTGCGAGCTTTAACTAAGTAAAGAGGATTTTGTTCCAGAAAATGTGTCTGGTCTCATACTGTACTAAACCATGTTCCATCAAAGAAGCCTGTATCAAATATATCGTCAGACCCAACTGAAGAAAAATCTTTCCAATTGATGTCTGGTGCATTAATATCTCTCAATGTCAGACACCTACTTTTAATTCAGGGCTTAATATTTCCCAATACAAAATCATGAATGAAGTAGATTAACCTACGTATGGTTGATGCGACGTAGAATAAATATGAAATCGCTAAAAATGCGTTTACATCTATTTTCCCCACGGACTTCGCCCTCATGACACTCAAGCAAGGAAAAATATATATCCCTATTACCCGTAACTACACACGAAAACAAGTTGGTCACTTTTAAATCCTTCCTACACCTCCTAATAACTCTCTTATCTCCACGACTGACGTCCGAATCTGCACTATCAGCAGTAGCGCATACAGTGTTTTTCTTGACTTATGCTGGATTTGCCAAAGGTGTTTGGCCGTCGTTTGGCACTTTTTTTTAACAAGGTAGGGATTTGTCTAACTTCGTCGAGTAGAATCGACTTTGTGAGGCAGTACTCTTGACATAACCAGGATTAGGCTAGTTTTCAGCGGCGTCCGTATATAGTTGATGACATATTGTTGCACGTTTTCTGACATTTTTATTAGCTATCACACTGAATGCCATCTTCGACACCGAAAAAACAGTGGTGGACTACATCATTGATTTTTAAAGACCACTTTAACTAGTTTGATGGGAGTAGCACCATGGAAAAAATCGAAAAATGTAAGCGAAAAGAACGTGGGAGGTGCTAACAGTTACGCTATCAGTGACTAAAAAGATTAATAAAATTTACAAAAATAGCTGTAATTAGTGATAGTCAAGCTTTTAGTACGTCTGAAACGTTTTATAACCCAACTGGACTTAAAACACGAAAAAAACAGTAATAGTGGGATTTTGTCTTAGACTGTAAACGGCGATGTCCAAATCTTCCTCTGCTTCCAGGATCAGCAATGGCTTACTCACATAGCAAAACATACACAGGGTTACTGATACTTAAGATTCAAAGATCAGTCACATTCTCCAGGTTCTAAACAAGTACGCATCCAACAAAACCACATTGGTTATTGCGCTGCTTTTTTCCCCGAATAGGTAAGAAGCTATTTGGTTTTGTAGACCAATGCATACGTACGATCACTATCAAAGTTAGCATGGAAACTTGCACTCAGGCAGCAAAAACAGTTAATCTAAAGGATTCTCAGGAAATTAACAGAAATATATCGAAGTTTCTAGTATGCTACACGCTACTCACAAGATTGCTTGTAAACATCTAGCTGAACGTGGCCTCGAAGCTCTCATAGTAGTCAGACGGAGAAAAGAGTTTCAGTACATCAAAAGCACTGTATAGGCAGAACACTTAAAGATCAAATGAGAAGACATTTCGTATCGCAGAACAGACCGCAAGATCCAGATGGATAGTTAAAGGCTATGTATATGTATTATATCAACACTTTGTAATTTTTCACAAATTTCCTTTCATTCTCTGACTTTTATGCACTAACAGAACCCAGAAACAATAATAATTGCAGTTAACGAACAGGTCAAATAAAAACATGAGTTTTTACTTATATAATCCAAGTCAACGTTCACGATATGTACTTTTTATGTTACGAATACACTGAATTAGAGTCAATTTAAAACGATTTTTCAAACGCATGCACCAGGAAGAATCACAAAAGTATTCCAAATCTATTGAATGCTACAAATCTACGTACTAACATCCTTGATCTTAACGGTAGTGTATAATTCATGTCGTACACATAGGTTTTTTCAAAATATCTGACCAGATTGCTCATGCATGTTACATCGAAATGCTTCACAGAATAATCCAGCTAGGAAGAATCATTAATTCGTTGTTGGTTGACACAGAAATCCACTTAAAATATCTCTTCTGTTCCATTCACAACCATTTTAAACCATTAATTACCGAACATCAAACATGTTTTCCCTGAGAAATTGTTGATACACAAGGCCTAGTCAGCCAACCATTTCACATGAACGAGCTATGCGGAATGTGAAGACAAACGTTTGGAAAATATAGGGGATACGCAACATTTGAGCTTTCGTATGGATACATTTTCAATTAATTTGCTTTCATATGGTACCATTTGACCCTATTTAATTCCCAACTGGATTATTTATAGTATACACTGATTGTAAGTTCGGATTAGTTTATGCATGTATAGTTTACGGAAGTCCTCGTTGTTAGTATATTAGATGTCGGCCTTATTTTTTCTCATACAAATCTGGATGGCCGCTGGATGTTTAATTATTTGAACCAACTTCCTGACACTCTCATCATAGATCTAAGCAGTGACTGTTATGACCTTAGATCGTGCTCCATGTGTGTCACTATGAAATTGTTTCAAAAAACGTACGTCGTAAAAGACAAATTGCCTCTATGGTCCTTATCAGAACTATATACAGATGCATAGATACATGTATGAGCAAAACATTCACTTTTCTGGTTCTTGAGTAGAATGAGTCATTAAAAATAAACTCATTTACTTGGTTCTTTTAAACCCAAAAGCAAGAATAAATTCCACTTTTGGTACCTTGGTGTAGGAAATTTGGCAGATCTGATCATAAAGTTCAGCTATTACCTTAATTGCTTTCAGTTTAGACAAGGAATGAACTGTTCTTCGAAGGAAAGTATAAAATCTACTAATTAGCGTTTACGGACTTGAAGTGCATTTGATAATTACTTTCACTCACATATTTTATAAATTGGCACATTTAAACTGAAAACCAAATCATTTTTAGATGACGGAAATTCGCTCTGTGGTGTTTGTCCTACTAAGTGAAACCACACTGTGTACCGTTACTGGACTGTATTTTATTTCTCACAGTAGTTTTACAGTAGGAAGATTTACTACAATGGCAAATCTAATTATTTACCCATTACTTTGAATCAAGTTTTATCTTTTGCTTTGAGTAAAGAACACAAACTCTATCACATTCTTTGATTCTAATATGTGTAAATATGCTTGACAATAGTAACGTAAAGACAAACTTTTAGTTCGAGAATCTATTTATCCAGACACAAGGTTTGGTCAAAAAATTTAGAACTAGAAAGATTTAAAACTACATTGATTAACAGCTGTAATTAGTTTACAAGCAACAAGCATCACATTAGAAGCGTGCTTGCTAAGAAAAGTAAGGCCATCTGAAAATTAGAATTTAATGAATGTTTTATGGTCACTGCAAAGAACAGGGTACTGTAATTTCATAACAAGATTGGTAACAAATAAAATGAGCCTTTTTACGAATGACCAAACAATATTCTGGGAACTAGGGTCATGCTCAGACGTAACAGAGAAGACTTCACATCGACTAAACACAACATAAAAATCCAACAAGCTTGAAATCTGTTGATTCTACTAAACCCTGTGTCTGGATAAATAGATTTTCAACCAAAAATCTATCTTCAAATAATTCTCATATCTACGCTTGTCACAAAACTTTGGACCTAGTAACCAACTTCTAGTGGAGTCTCATTCAAACTTACAGAAGTAAAGTTAAAAGCGTACCAGCTACCAGGTAAGTCAGGTTCAGATGATTGGTTACCTATTGCTTTGATTTGATTGATTCTTCCCTTATTTCCCTTGTGTCTTTTTTACTTCCTGAACATATTTCGAAAATAAATCCTTTAGATTTCGAGGAAGATCTTCAGTGGTATATAGTCTCTATGGGATCTCTCTTTTTAACTTAGTGACACGTCCAATATAATTCAATATGGCTAAAGGCATATCTTTTCAGTGACTTATCATTAGGTTTGACTTTACATCGATGAACAGATTTTCAGTATTTTCCTGTGATACTTTATTAATTATACGTCCATCTTCCTTATTTTACACGATATTCTTATTAATATTCTTATTATCATTATCACCATCACAATTACCATGACATAACAATTTCTATTTTTTTACATAGGATTTTAATCTGTTAATTAGGACTCATCACTTTAGGCCAAATAATTTCTACTGCTTTTCCTCGCATGACACTTTTAATCCTAGTAATTAACTATCATGGTTTTATTTGAGAATTAGTCAACCTATAATCTATTATTTTCAATCTAAAATTGTGATTAAACCAACTAGCATGTTCATATGTATACTCCAATATTTTTCTACAATGCAATAGTTACTGATTCATAACTGTACAATCTGAAGACGTTATTCAAATGTTTTCCAAAGTACTAACGTTTTTATGTTTATGCTTATACAGTATATTACTATAATATCCTAAAACCAGGATAAAATCGTCCGAACAATATCTTTCAGAGATTGCAGCATGCTAGGTATCAAAATCGTGTATTTATTATTTTCTTCACGGTTTCTAAATATATAAACCCTTTGGTCCAATCAGCCGCAAGTTGGGGTATTTTCGTTAATTTCACTCACTTTAATGCGACTTCAAAGATTGATCGAAATTTGTAAGATGTGGTAAGTTTATATATTTATTTAACTAGTGTTGTATTGCAAAGTTGTCAATTTGTGAAAATCAAAATAGTTGCAATACTTACTAAGATTTTTACCTAGCTACCCCTGGAAAAACATCTAAAATCATCACGAGAGAATCAGTATATGTTTAAGTGAACTTCTCAGGCAGATATACCGTCATTCTGCTTGACTGCTTACTGTAACTGTTCGATTCTAGTTATATTATTAGCATGTTATTAGCGTGTTTTGGTGATATCGAATCGAATTTCATGAACACAGAGAATTTCTTAAATGGTTAAGCATGCCAGTGATTCTCCATGTCTGTGTTTCTTGTTTTTTAATTTACTGGTGCGCTGAATTGCTGCCTATCTTTTTATTTTATAGACTTTTTCGCACCATAATGCTTGACCTGTAGGAAGACCTCATCAGCTGTTTTTTTACTAGCTAGCTGGACCTTATCACATCTTTTATCCAAACCACTCCATTAATATGTCCAGTTTCTTTCGTAAAGTCTTTAGCAATTATAGCTGTCCTGATGGACTGTACGTGGATAAAGAAGGCTGTAAATTGTTATTTATTGAACTTTATGGAAGAAAACCGAATAAAGAAGAGATGAAATGTATTTTATCATTTTCAGAATCAAATATCAATGGTGAGCCCATTGGTATAACATTTTCTGGGTTTGTAAACTATTTATTTTCTGATTAAATAGTTTTCTTTCTTCCGTCCAAATGCTTCAGAAACATTTTCAGAATCTTCCACATATTGACGAACACAATAGATTATCATTTGATTGTTTAGATCTAAATTCGAGGGACTTTGTCACGATAAATGATTTACACAAAATATGGAGTAGATACTTACCATCTTTACCATCTGGTCTACTGCGTACTATTTTCAGAGAGTTTGACCAAGATTGTGACGGTCGAGTTTCATATGAAGATTATCTACATACTACAAAGTTGTAAGTTTAAAATTTGTCCAGACTTTTATGGCATAGTATTGTATTTTTAGTATCGTCTGGGAAATTATTTTTTTTACCCGGTATTTATTCAATGTCTAACAGTCACTGATTACGATCAGTGAATATAATCTATACTGGATACTATAGGAATGTGTTATTATAAGGTTAAAAGTGGTCAAACCGAGATGAAATTAATTTGTAATGTCAGTAACTTCTGACCAAAGTTGTACTGCAGAAGAGTCAGCTTTCTTGTTGAAGGTGCTTAGCGACGCCCTTCAAAACCGATTATGATAATGTAGTTGTACTTATCCTTTACACCCCCGTAGATTTCGAGCTTAATTTCATCCCCTGCCATTTAATCTGCGATCTTATTTATTCATCTTCAGTTATTTTCTTAATATTAGCTTTTCATTTTGGTGAGTATTGTTATTACCCTGTTCACCTCGCCTCGCTAATTTTCTTTGTCTGTGTACTTGTTTTGGATGTACCAACTTCGATCGATTCTCATTCATACCAGATTTTACACTGTCTTCGATTAACTAGCATTACCAATTACTAATGTTTGAATTGTATTAAAAACAAAATGAAGTTATTGTTTATTTTTCCTGAAAGAGTATGTTTACACATTGCAATTAAACTTTATACACCATAATTTGTATTTTACCATACCTATGGTAATACCGGAGGTAATTAAAACAGGAATAGAGTTAAAGACGACATAAATCTACAACTATTAGTAGTAAACATCAAGTACTTAAAGTCTTTTGTTATTTCTAATTTTACATATTGTAACTCTGAGATAGCCCTTTCATGTCGAAATAGTTTTCCCTATTGTCATAGGGATTTGTTAGATACAAAAAATGATAATGCTAGTTTACGGTTAAGATTATATACATATATGTACATTATAGGGCTCCGCCTATAGCCATTCAAAAAATACTGCGGGCTCCAAGCCTGGATAAAGGAGGAAGGTTGAGCATGGAGTAAGCAACCCAATCCCGTAGAAGAAAACCTTGCTAAAAACGCTAACAAGAAGAATACCCAGTTAAAATCACGGTTGGGAGTTGAAGGATCTTCATTTAGAAGAATTATGACGCCTCATAATGAAAGCCGAGATTCTTCGGAAATCATGAGGCCGATGTCACTTCTGACAACCACAGAAACAAACAATATAGGTACTTGGAGTGTCTGAACAACCTAGGAGATTGAGGGGACCACTCAAATGGCTGTGAAAATGAGATGTAGAATTTAATTTATCGTACAGATATTCTACTAGAACTGTGGTCACGATACTGACGACCCTTGAGTCTGTGTGAAAACTACCGTCAGCACAAGTACAACTTGGCTTTAAACTTGATTTGATTCTAAACATAAAAACAATTTGATTGGTACAATAATTAAAGGAATTATAGTCATTAAATTGAACGCATGAACATACCGACCAGTATTGCGTGTCATATCAAAATGAATAAAAATTATCAGTCACACTAATATAATAGAATAATAATGTCCTTCAATTGGCAGGTCACATGTAACAGGGTTAGTCTACAGACACATCAGACCAGATTGACGTGGTGGGCGCCTAAGAAACTATTTGATTGGTTAGTCATGGGCATAACTAACATGAGGATTTACTACATGGCTTCGGGAGAAAAAATATCTCGCACACACAAGAAGTGACATTGAGGCTATCCAAAGAAGTACGAAAAGCACTTACGTGATGGGAATCTCGTGGATTCAGAATCCTCGGAGCATTCTTAAAAACAAAGAAGGACGGGATCACAATGAATTTCATTCAGCTATATGCGCTCACCAGTGATAGACATGAAGATGATATCAATCAATTTAATGAGAGAGTGCAGTTGATCAAAGAGAAGTGCCCAGGAAAAGACATGACCATCCCGATGGGAGATCTAAACATCAAGTCGAGATGGACAACAAGGAGTATGAAGATGTCATGTGACGACATGGACTGTCAAAAATGAGAATGGTGACATGTTTGCAAATTTATGTACCCTCAACAAATTGGTTATGAATAAAACTGTTTTCCACCATGAACTCACACATAAAACTATATCGCCCCCAAATGCCCTGGTACGGCCGAGTGTGGGGAGAGTTCACTCTCCCTCTCGAAATGCTCCCACATGGCCACGCGAATATATAGCCTCTGACAGGGAAGTCCTGCTCACTGCCTTCTCGTGGCGGGAGTGTTGTTTACGAAAGTGACAGGACGAAAAGCGAATGTTCAGCGCTTTAACCGGGTTGGTGTACACGGAGGGTCCACCAAGGGGAGTTGGAAAACCCTGATTCCAAACCAATGGTGCACATGGGCTCCAGTATCCTGATGGAACGAATGGCGAATGAACCTGTTGTTGGTCACCGGCTACCATGGGACTGCATCTCCTCACGATGCTCCACTGCCTTGTGGATCAGACCTTTAGGTCAAAGGCTCGGGATGTGGCCCCCTAAGAAAACCACCTGCTTCGGTTTTGGCACCCGGGCAGTATCACAGCCCACACACAAATGACATGAAATGACGCACTTCACTAACTACACTGCTCTCGTTCCTAATAGAAGAAAGACAGTTTACATTATTATTATTATTATTATTATTATTACTATTACTATTACTATTACTATTATTTACTACGTCGCTTTTTCACTCCCTTTATTCCCAAATTGTGTATCCTTCCTTTCCAACTTATGCAGTAGCTCGCCCATGGTGGAAACTCTGTCCTATCTAAACGATCTCCAGTCACTGTCCGGTTGAAAGTGAATGCTCCCACCGATTACGAATACTGAAGCAGTCTTTCTGAAACCACGTACGCCGTTCAAGCTGGCTTCCTTCAACGTTCGAACACTAATGCAGATCAGACAACAGATAGGGCTGGCTATGTCTTTGGAAGGTCTTAATGTTGATGTTTGCTGTCTATCCGAGACCCGTATTCAAGACTCTAGTGAAGTACTACAAATCCGCTCTCCATCTGTCGCTTCGAAAAGCTTGTTTCACGTGCACTTATCCGGGGACCCTGTGGCATCTTCGTCCGGTCTTGCAGGCGTTGATGTTGCACTAAGCATTAGGGCTGAGGCAGCACTAATCGATTGGATACCCATTAACAGTCGGTTATGTGCTGTTAGATAAGAAAGTTCCATCAAAGTGAGAAGAAATCGGCGTGAGAATCGGTGTCTTTTCGTCATCTCCGCCTATGCCCCGACAGATTGCAGCCCGGATGCAATCAAGGATGAGTTTTACCACCAGTTAACAGTTCTTCTCCAGAAAGCGCGTTCGACAGATATTGTAGTACTAGCCGGAGACTTGAATGCTCAGGTCGGGCGTCTAGGCACAGAAGAGAGTCGTTTAGGTGGCCGATGGGGACTTGTTGGTCGCAGGACAGATAACGGAGACCGTTTGCTGCAACTGTGCACAGACGACAACCTGTTTCTGGCCAGCACTAACTTCTGGCCCAGTCATCGCCGGTGTGCCACCTGGCGCCCTGCCTCTGCATCTCAAGCCTGGACTCAGATTGATCACATCGCGATCAGCTACCGCTGGCGTGGTTGTGTACAAGACTGCCGCTCCTTTTGGAGTACCTATCTGGAATCTGATCATGCCTTGGTCTTCGCCAATCTCACCTTACTTCTCAGTGGCCGAAGGATTGACCGCCACCAACGGATCGATGTTAGTAAACTGGCTGCAACTTCTGTTGCAGGTAGGTATCGAGCGGAGCTAGCTTCTAGACTAGCTACCATCCCACCGAAAAGTATAGATCAGCATTGGTTGCATCTTCACGACGCCATGAAAATGGCGAGTAAAGCCGCTTGCGGCTTCGCGAAACGTCCCGCTTACAAGCACTGGGTTTCTTCTGGCTCCTTACAACTGATGGAAGCCCGTCGGTCTACTCCGGGTGACCGTGAGTATGACCACAAACGAAGGCTGTTACGTAATGAAATTTGGCAAAGCTTGCGTAAGGACCGAGAAGCCTGGTGGTCGGAGCGTGCTAATGAGATGGAAGCAGCAGCTGCATCCGGTAACTGCCGGAAGCTCTTCCAACTCATCCGAGCCACTGGCAGCAAGAAGTGTGGTGTGAGTGAAACAATCTACAAGGATGATGGGATGCCAATCACTAACATCTCTCGACGTCTTGGACGATGGGCGGAGTTTTTCGAAGGGCAGTTCAACTGGCCTGCTGCTCCGGCAACATCGACCAGTTTGTCCTGCCCCCCCCCATGGCCGGTGACGACTGATCCACCAAACGAGGCGGAAGTCCTCAAGGAACTCCAACTCTTGAAACGTTACAAATCACCGGGACCAGATGACTTACCTCCGGCTCTTCTTAAAGATGGTGGTGATTTTCTTGCTAAGGAACTCACTGCATTGTTTGCAAAGGTTTGGGAGCAAGAAAGTGTTCCAACATCATGGAATGAGTCGATAGTCGTCCCTATCTTTAAAAAGGGTTCACGTTGTTCCTGTGATAACTATCGAGGGATAAGTCTTCTTCCGATTGCGTCCAAACTATTGGCTTCTGTCATTCTTCGTAGGTTGTTTAAAACCCGAGAACGATTGACTCGCGAGGAGCAGGTTGGTTTTCGTTCTGGTCGAGGATGCATTGATCACATCTTCACCCTCCGCCAAATGTTAGAACACTGTCATACTTATCGCAGGCCAACAATCGTAGTGTTTCTTGATATCAGGGCTGCCTTCGATTCGTTGGACAGGAGTGTTCTCTGAGATAGTCTATTGAAGAAGGGTGTGCCTGAGAAGTTCATTTACATCTTAAAGGCCCTGTATACGAACACCTCAGGCAGAGTGAGGGCATACAACCACATTTCTCCCTTGTTCCATTCGAGCAGTGGGGTTAGGCAGGGTTACCCGATTTTACCATTCCTCTTCAACTTTGCCATCGATGACATCCTGGAAACAGCTCTGATGGATGTAAGTAATGGCGGTGTGGATATGTTGCCTGGAGAACGACTTCTCGACCTCGAGTATGCGGATGATATTGTCTTACTGTGCGGTAATGCCCAAGGCATGCAATCAGCACTTAATCAGTTGGCAATCAGTGTCCGCAGGTACGGCATGTGCTTTGCACCCTCCAAGTGCAAGGTACTCCTACAAGACTGGCAGGATTCTAATCCTGTACCCACCCTGGATGGTGAGCAGATTGAAGTAGTTGAGAAGTTCATGTATCTAGGTAGCTATATAAGTGCTGGTGGTGGCGTGAATGATGAGATTGATGCAAGCCAGAGCGGCTTATGCCAATCTGGGTCATCTTTGGCGCCTTCGTGATGTTAGTCTGGCTGTAAAAGGTCGGATCTACAACGCGTCGGTGAGAGCAGTTTTGCTCTATTCATGTGAAACCTGACCTCTCCGAGATGAGGATTTCAGACGACTCTCTGTGTTCGATCATCGTTGTCTCCGAAGGATTGCTGACATACAGTGGCAATACCATGTTAGTAATGCAGAGGTTCGGCATCGTGTGTTCGGGCGCAGAGACGATAATTCAATTGGTGTCACCATTTTGAAACACCGACTTCGGTGGCTTGGACATGTTTTACGAATGTCGTCCCAGAGAATCCCACGTCGTGCATTATTTGCCGACCCTGGGACTGGTTGGAAAAAGCGGAGAGGAGGTCAGTGTATGACATGGTGTCGTGGCATGAAAGAAAGCTGCAAAGGGCTAGCTTCCGTTGGTCCTTCACGACTCCCTGGTTGGGGTCCGAGAGATGGTGCAACACAGTGGCTAGAGACGTTATCAGATATGGCTCAGAATAGAAGCCAGTGGCGAACCTGCTGTAACCTTCTTTTACTTTCTACATAAAGAGTGGTTCTAACTTTCTTAACTGAAAGATTCTTCTGGTTGTACATTTCAGTCCGCCTTATCTTTTCATCCCTTCTCTTCCTACTTTCATTATTTTGTGTGGCGCATATGTACCTGGTGCCCTTTTGTACCAATATATATGTGTTTAAATAAATAATAATAAATAAATAAAACTACATCGGTCTCACCGAATCACACTACAAGAAACCACATAGACTACATCTGCATCAATAGAAATTTCAGAGGATCCACGGAAGACTTTGGGACAAAGATAAAAGCAGATGTAGCTTCAAATCACCACGTGGTTGTGGCCAAGATTAAACTTAGCCTAAGAAGTATTGGACAACTGGATAAACAGTATCACAAAAGTTTTGATACAGCCTTTCTTCCAGATACTGACAAACTCAACAAATCCAAGACAACTCTCTACAACATGTTATAAACTTTACAAGACCTGCTTAAAGGAGAGGAATTTACTATGGAGAATAAGTGGAAGGGGACTAAACAAGCACTAACTTCAACGTGCCAGGAGGTCCTTTGCCGCAAAAAGCATCAATATAAGGGACGGATCTTGATCGAGACCCTTGGCAGGATTCAAAAAAAGAAAGACAAAAAGACAGCAGTTAACAACAGCCGAACAAAAGCATGGAAATCCACGGCACAAATCGAATACAAAGAAGCAAACAAGAGAGAAATGCGGAGCATTAGAGCCGATAAGTGGAAATACGTAGTAGACCTGGTGATGAAAGCGGAAAAATGTACAAGAGAAGAAAATATGAGACAACTACGATACAAAGAAAAAACTGGAGGCGAAATACAGCAAAGCAGGGAGACCAGTAAGGAAAAAAGAAGGCAAGTGTTATGACTAATAGTTATAGATCTATGTCGTCTTTAACTCTATCCCTGTTTTAATTACCTCTGCATTTGTACAGCTTTATAAACTATAAGTTACTAATAAGCAAAGATGGATAGTGGTTAGCAGTGGAATCCAAGACTCGTCAGCTGGATGTACCTGCATCTCAGTGTTGATGTACACTCTGGGACTCAAACCCAGTACCTTTCGCTTCAAACGCCATCGCATTATCTACTCAGCTACTGAGTCCTGATAGCTTGTTTTGTCCATCCTGATTGGCTTATAGTTGATCAATGTGTACAGACAAACATATTTGGCATGGTACATATCTATATTGTATTATTTACTTCTACTCTTTGTACTTTTCTCATAATACACGCTTGTTCTGGTCCCATCTGGTTCTCTATCGATCAGTCGGCTAAGTGAGTGTAAGTGTGTAACAGCACTAATATTATAATGTCTTCACGAATCATCTATTAAACACTATACCTTCCGTATTTATTATTATTTTAGAATATTAAAGATTCCCATTGTGAAAATTAGAACAACACATGTAAGCGAACAATTGTTTTCAGTTAGATCGTCATCAGGCTTTACTCTAATATACATGAACATTTATACGAAAATGTTAGACTAATCAAGGCTATTTGAGTCAATAATTTATGTGTATAGAAGAAATTTGTAACCCCCCTATCCCTTCCATGGCCGGACATAACTCAACAAATGACATTATTATTTTTTTAATTTTGTTATCATTTGTTTGTAATTTTCTACCTCTTTCCGTTTACATTTTTCACTATCTAATTATTTACATAATTCCTATTACGTAATGATTTTAATGTTTTGTGATCACTATTTTAAGTCTATTTACCCACTTCGGACCTCCTATTTCCAATGTTTAACTATTGATAAGACTTTTGTTATCGTAATTGAATATTCTTACTACTATCAGTACAGCTGTCTTCCCACTATCAACTTGTACTTTTACCTCTTATGCTTGGTGACGTAATCTATTTCATTGTGATTACTGACTCAAATCGCCTTGATTGGTTTAACATTTTCGTATAAATATTCATGTATATTAGAGTAAAGCCTGATGACGATCTAATTGAAAATAATTGTTCGCTTACATGTGTTGTTCTGTTATTATTTTGTTTGAAGAGAAATAAATTTTGTAATTGTACACTTCTCCTTTCTGTTTTAGTAAGATGTAATCAGTATACGAAGAAAAAACGACTGCTATGGAATATTTCAGTGACTTTAAAGAAATTATCATATAATTGATTTAATGTACAATTGATTATGGTCGTATTTCCTGCCTACTATGTATAAATCAACGTGTGTTTACATTATTTTCATAATTTATTAATTGTTTAGATAAAACTTATTTGTTTGTTCTTTTCTTGTAACATACGTTTCTTCATTAGTTTTACAGTGAAATAAATAGTTAACTTTGTAGCATTTTGTTGACTGTGGCATGTTTATTTTTTTTACACAAACAAACAAGCGTTTACTTGATGCTAGTTAAAGTTTTTGAAGTTTGTAAACCGTGAATTTCGAACCTTACAAATCACACTGTGAACTCAAACTAGGAAATTTACCTACATGGTTCCCTCATTAAGCATTGAGGCTGCCAGTTATACACTAAAAGCAATGAACTCAATGAAGTTACACATTAACACCATCGGATGCCGGCTACGTAGATTTCTTCATATCCAACTCCTACAAATGGCCGAAGCTCTCACCATCCATGAGCTGAAGCCAGAGCTATGTGTACAAAAAAGTACGTCCCATCGTTATCGTTCCCTTGGTCTTAATTTTCATTACTGTTATTACTACGTTTTCCCCTTTACTTATGTCTCATATTATTCTCATTATTTCATTTATAATTGCTTATGATATCACTTTCTTTATTTTTCACACCTCTATGACCTTTAATTATTGTGACAAAAACACTTTAATCATCTTACTATATTCACGTTATAATTTGTTGCTAACTTATTAAGTCTATTGTTATTATTCGCATTACGTAATCTTGTATTATAATCTTCCTACTACACCATCTTGGTTATTCCTTGTTCACATGTTCTCACGAAACTAATACTTTGACAAAACATTTTCATATATATATATATATATATATATATATATATATATATATATATATATATATATATACGATTGTACAGCTTGATAACAAATTTGTTGAAAAGAGATCCCGTCGCTGAACTTCGTGTTTTTGATGTTTAAATTAGAAATATCACTGTTACAATTAGAATGTGTCTATTAACTGAAAATCATTACAGGTTGTTTTTATTTGAGAATTGTTTTAGCTTACTGTGGAGTTTTCTTTTTCTGGCGCGATTCTTTTTGTTTGATATATTCAATTTCTTGTTCGGTTAGAAAACCACTATGACGTTTCTTAATGTTACATCTGTAGAAAAGAAATAACGAAATAGAAGTAAAAACATTATACTCTAAAATCTTGTTATATATTATTTGAGAGAGATAAATAATTGATCGGTTATTTATTCTTTCAGTAGTATTCTTCACGTATTAACTTCAGTCTAGTTACCATTGAAAACCAGGAATTATTGTTACTCTAATGTCGTCGGTTCAACGTTAATACTTACAAATTGAGTTAGTTTCTAAAAAATCATAACATCAAAACTGTATTCATAAGCTGGTGGACGACTTACTTTGAGATGAGTCCCTGATTTTCCAACACAAAGTCATGACCTCTTTAGCTCAGAGATGTCAAGAGTGAAAATCTTCACTAATGCCATTAGATGATGACCCATTACACCACAAATTAATCGTGTTTAGAAATACATACAATAGATGTCAATCTAGTAGTCTGATGGTTGATTTCTAGTCCTGCTGAGGTTACAGGTGAGCATTACTGAAGAACACTATACTAGGATGAAAAATCCGCTCAGTACTTTATGGTTGTCAGTCGTATCCGCTACGAAAGTTCCTTACAAATCAAGCTGATTTCAGTAGGGGTCCCATATCAGAACTTATTCTCTGCTAAATTTCTTTTCAAGAGTATGTTATCAAACGATCGTTTTGAGGTATTATTTATCATAATTACAATTTATCGCCCATGACACTACTGAGTATCGAACCAAGGACTAATAGGTCTTGAAGCGAGCATAACATGTTCTGACCACCAATTTGAGATTTTGTGTCCAAATTCTCAGCTTCGATTAATTTTTGTCTTCATACTAACAATGAATAATAAGCTTATTCACGACATGGATTCCACAATTCACAGTACCTCATTATAACATTGGTAAATCCATTCCACAGAAAGTTTCAATTCATTTCCTGTTGGGTCGGCTTCCGGAGAACTTCGACGGAGCCTCCAGAGGCCCAAAAAGAAGCCGAAGAGACCTAGCCAATCAGAGTACGATGGAACATTCTAGAGTTCCAACGTGGCGAGCTACTATTGGCCGGTAGCATAAAATGTGGCTAATGGATTGGCTGAAATACTATGTTGATTTGACATACGCTAACATCTATAAATACCTTTGATTTCCTGTAACAAGATTGAACCTTGCAGTAAAATGTTTCTCTCATACTCGTGTCTTCTCTCTGGTGTTCAAGTCGCAGAGTAGTTCTAGCCTGGGGTTACCAGAATAGCTTAGGATCTGAATATAGCGTTCAACTTACAAGACATATAATTTCCTAACCAGATTTCTTCCACTCTTACCTATTGGAAGTATGTCAGGACACTTTCTCAAGAGCTATGTAAGTTTGCACTTGCTACCGTACGAGATATTTTTATACAGTTATGATATTAAAATTCTTAAAAATTAAATTCTTTAAAATACTAGTAACGAAGTAAAAATCTAAGATAATTGTTTTCGAAATAAATAGCTTCACTTATTTATGATCCGCAGTCATTATAATCTAATGTTCTATAATTTCATTCAATTGGTTGACTTCATTAATTCACTGGTGGAGTAAAAAAATTCAAAACCTTTTGTTATGATACAACATTTTCTATACTTTGAAAAATTAGAACAAACAAAGTGTTTAACCCACTTTATAAATCCAACTAAACCTTGTCCACGAAATAGTGAAAATCTTCAGATGGTTTTAAACTTTAAAAAATATGTTTTAGGCATTTGTTATGGTAAGAAAGCGGTTTTTTGCTACTGTATAAGTTCTTGAAGTTGTTCATTTCTTAAAGTAACATAGTTAAAGACTTCGATTGTATTTCAAATATTTTTTAGCCATACAGACTACTTATCACAAAATTAGTTTGATCAGTTTTCTATATCGAAACATTCCATTATTAATATTTGTCCCCGTCAAGATCGTTTTAATTGAAACTAATATTCAGTTTATCATCTAAATGTCTGTCTGTCTGTAAGACAAAAGTTAAGACCTAAAGACATTGGTAGTATCAGAATATGCACAGACAGAAATCATCAAGAAGAATACTAAAAAGTATGGTGTAGTGGCCAGTTGTTTTTATCCTGAGTTGATCCTTATCAACAACTTAACCTGATACAAAGTCGTAACCAAAGTATATTCCTGTCTCTCGATAAAGACCTCATTTCTCATCATTCGATATCTACTGAGTAGTCATGACTTTCCAATTTAGTCTGTTCTTGATAGAGAATGATTATCATCCAGTATCATCGACGGTCACCAATACAAGCTAAGTTTTCCTTGTTTAAGGCTATAACTCATTATTTTGAGCTACAAAGTTAATACATTTCCTTACAACAGAAGTCATTAGTGAGCGGCTGTTATTTATTAAACTAGATTGATCATAAAATTAATTTTTATTCAGGCTAAATGTTTCTTCTTACAATCATCATTACATATATATATGCAGATAATAAAAGGCAATAAATTCAAAATTTATTGAACTGAATAGGAAACAATTTAAAACAGTTTACCTAATTTTATCACATACATTTACACGTTCTATGAATATACTTAATAAATATTAATCACAGTAAGACATTACTACTTATGAGTTCTCCTACATTCTTAATTTATAATGTCTACCATAGTTTTCCTACAGGCAGCGGATTACTCCTTTATTTCTTATTGGTTTCATGTAAATAGTCATACACTTTCTATTTAACATTTGTGATAATTGTGTCGTCCAGAAAGTAACGATTATTTCATAAGTAGGCCACGCAATTCAGAGAACGAAATTACAACAAAACTCTTGATATCACAAATACTATAAAAACGAAGTCTTGCCTTCATGATTTAACATAATAATGCTAAAAATCATGTTATCCTTTTGAGGACTCGTCGGATTCAAACCCAATAGTTGCTCTTTGAACACCTTGTAACATTGTTTTTTTAATTAATTACTTATTTTATAAGTCCTAAGACTTCGAACTTCTACTTTATTCATATTCATGACTGAAATTATTAGTGTGATGAAGTATGGTTTGATTAAGCGGTTACCTTGATATTTCATGCACTTATATTTAAAAAACCTACATATATTTAAAGCATAACATTGGAACTCGCTTTTATTCGTAACTGAACACATGATTTTGGTAGACATTATTACTTTACTATAAAAATCTTCATCTTATTTAGCATCTCTGTGTTTTTATAAATTGTCTTAACAATCTGATTTTAATGAATACCAGGATTACCTGTATGAAACAGGATACATTGATTTTAGAAGCAACTAATTAAAACTTCGTTCCACGAAGCCATTAAAAAAATAACAACACTAACCAAGATTAAGACTATCATATTTAAAACGAAGGCATTATTTTTTATTGTAGCTTGTATTGCTTTCAGCGAAAGCTATTATGAATATTTTGTAGTGCTAATATAAATTGTCTTTATCAGCATTAACCTTATGCTATATCCCGAAGAGGATTATGAATAGTGACTTTTGAGAGCTATTTATGGACTAATGTGATCCATATATTTCCTATTGTATAATTGTTAAGTAACTAAACTATTCATATTCACGTTCCTTTTATGATAAGCTTTATATTGACCTATAGACTATTATTGTACGATTTACCGCTCTTGAGTTATCCCTAGTCCATTAATTACTGCCCCCCCCTATTCACAGCCACATTTGACTAAATCATGTACAAATGTTATTTTTTATTTTATGGTACGATGTAGTCAGTTAGTTTGGTATATAAACCTAGTATTTTTGAGAATAATGATTCATATTGCAGAGGCTGTTATTAGTGTTCTGGACTTAACTGGCTGGGCTAGGCAGATAACAGGACCGATAAGTACTCTAGATTGATCGTACGGTTTTCGTGTGTCACTGCTCCGATCAATAAAACGCTGCTCTCTAATACTCGGGTACAATTTAAAAACACTTACCGACACAGGATACACCTTACTACCAAAGTCAGAAAATCACGAAAATGTTACTGAAACAGACACTAACTACATTAAATAAATCTATTTTATAAGTAGATCATATAAGTAAACTTGAATAAGAAGAGATAAATTGCTTTTAGCATTACAATTGAATAACAATATACAATAAACCACTATATGTAATGAGACCAATAAAATTGATTTCTTTATTAAACATATTTGTAAAATATGGGAAAGTAATAAACGGATAATATTCTTATTTTAACACAGAAAAATCATTTTAATCACTTACCCCCATAATTCTGCACCACATTTATCACGTACACATGTAGCAAAACTTAATGTTGATGGTTGTGAATGATCACCTTGACCACGTAAACAACAACTATTCATAACTTTCATAATTTGTTTTTTATTTTTTTGAAAATTTCTCCATAATCCACGTATTGCTTTAGAACATTCTTCATACTGACTACCACATTCTTGAACACATAGATCAAATTCAGGTTTACTCAATTTTTCACCATGTGAATCATCAGCATAACAAGAATTTAAATATAAACAATATAATATGCATAAATTCTGAAATAATCTCCACATTTTGTTACAATTAAATAATGAATAACTAGAATAGTTGTATACCAGTATTAAATACTAATGTCTATGACTCTTTTATAAGTTTTTCTTAACTCAAGGAACTAATTATAGATATGTAGTATTTAAATATCTAATGTAAAATTTAACGAATGTTATACACAACAACAACAACATAATAGAGTGTATATATTGAATGAATAGTTTACATTAGTTTTTAGTAGTATAGGTAGTTACCTATTAATAATCGAATACTGACCGGATATAAGATGTAAATCCATAATGTACTGTGAAATAAACATTCATTTCATGTAATAATCCAAATATAAATATTTTACCTAATTCGTTTTTCAATAAACTAGTTTGAGGAATAAGTGATATAGAAATATGATCTATTATACTATTATTTCTATGATACTATTATACTAAGGTGATTAGTGTAAAAAAATTTTACAATTTAAGAGTTAATAATACCAATTCATAATAGGTGAATAAAGATTCTACGATCAGAATCTGTGTTGAATTTTAGATGACCATATGAAATTTTCCAAACTAGGAAAGGAAATCACTTCTCACAGGGTATATCACATATATATAGAATATTTGAGTGAACAAGTGCTTTCAATAACTTCATCATCGGGCATCATGGTTACAAGTCCATAATTATTTTGATATTTTACAAAGGCCAAAATGAGGCATATATTAATGAATTTTACGATGTTATACGTTGAAAATGGTGAACGTTTGCATCTGTTATTACATAGATACTTCAAAATTGTGTTATTTACAAATTAGAAAGGTTATATAATAAAGGTCAGAAACAATTTGGAGTAAAGTGTTCAGTCACAATCACTATAATAGTAATATGGCAAAATGAATGTGAAAAAAGAATATCGTATGAATAAAATGTATAGTAGGAGAGTTTCATCTTGTTAATCGAGGTAATAATAATAGTAATAACAATAGTGTTAATATCGTTGTGTGAATAAAATATGTAATAAGAAGGGTGTTATCAAGATAATCATGATAAAAAAGAATTCATGTGAATCGGGAATAATGGATGTGAAGATGAAGATAGATTTAATCAAAAATATTCAGTTTCGGTATCCGGTGATCCAGTCGTAAGCCAAGATAAACATAGAGGCTGGATATACCTTTTCTGGATACATAAGTCTGGATAGGCAATATATATATATATATATATATATATATATATATATATATATATATATATATATATATATATATATATATTTACAAATTTTATTGTAGATTCTAGATATACAAATGCTTCTTCTATTAAATGAACTGATAACATCAATGTACAATATTTATTTATTTAAACACATACATATTGGTACAAAGGGGACCAGATACATATAAGCCACACAAAACAATGAGAATGGGAAGAGAAAGGTGGAAGATGCGTATATATAAAAGAAAATATAATAGGATGAAAAAAAGAAGAGTAATTATGGGGGGAACTGAAATGTACAACCAGAAGACTCTTTTAGTTAAGGTTATAACCACTCTTTATGAAAAAAGTAAAAGAACGTTACAGCAGGATCGCCACTGGCTTCTATTCTGAGCCATATCTGATAACGTCTCTAGCCACTGTGTTGCAACATCTCTTGGACCCCAGCCACGGAAATCCACTGATTATTACTACCTAGGTAGCTAGTCAATTTTTATAAAGTATGAATAGATTTGTTGCTATTATCAACATCAACTTCTGTTAATTTGCTGAATAGTATTATTTTGGTGTGGGCTACTTATATCCACACAAGTAGTATATAGCGATGGTCGGGCATTGAATGTATTTCAGAAGATCGATAACGAAACGCAATTGGTATGAAAATGCATGAACAATAATAATCAATGACGATGAACTGATATTTGCAAAAGGAACAGTCATGATTGAGACAATTAATTGATAGTTTACAAATTGACTATTTACTATATGGTTCTCATATTTTAGTAAGATATTCTGTAATATTGTACCGAAGTACATTCGATTGTCCCCACTCGTCTACTTATTCACTACAGTAGTTTGTTCAAAATGACATCTGGTTTTATTTCGGGAGTGGGGTAAATTACCAATTCGAATATTTGACTTAATGATTTCACCATGTCTATAAAATAACCAATATGTAGTCAGTAATATGGACTAGACTTACAGAGTATTCGTTGGTAACAAGTAAACAGTTGTTCTGCAGATAAAATACTTTTAAAATTAGGCTTACAGAATTAGCAAAATTTATTTCTATTAAAAAATAATATTACTAGGAAATAAAATTTAAAATAGTGTATAAGAAATTAGGAAATAGATATCATGTGAATTGAATAAGTAGTACTTAAACAAATTTATAGTAGGACGTTACATGTTCAACCATTAATTTAATTCATCACTACAGCTTGTTTAGGCAAGTAAACCAGTTATTTAGTTGTGATAAAATTAGAATAGGATAAAAAGCATGATATACATGTAGAAATAACTAATCTGGGAATTTCCGACCATTTTATGTAAAATAATGTGTTGTTTCAAGTGTAACCTGGAAGTATCTGTTGGAAAATAAATTACATAATGGCTTCCTACTGTAGTTACAGGTAACTTTATTAGTGTTATAGGACTACAGAATAAGATAGGATGTCGTCAGCGAAATACGTGTTATGTAGTGAAGCGTATAGTGACATTTATATCTAGTGATTTTTTGTAACAACAAATTAAAGATCACATATTTTTCCTAGTTGTCACACTTTTTATGTAACCACACTTATATTCGACATCTATCGTTTTTCTGTATCAATGGTAAAGAAACGAATACTTTTGTTTGGTTATATATAACACGACTACACTACCGCGATTCTTAAAATATAAACGTTGTATCTGCCGTCTATTCTTCTGCTTTAACGGCCACTGCCTTTGATTGAAGATTATAATAGTATTATGATATCCTTTTTAGGCCATTCCACTCTACGTTGGAGCTTTGGCCCGGATCATTACTGAATAATACTACTGGACCTAATCTTCTTCATTTTGCTGTTGGTGCCATCACGTGCAGAGGAACCTTTGTTAACCAAGTGAACTTATTTGTGGTTGTTATCTCAGAAAGCAGCTTACAAGTAACATTCATTTCATAACACTGTTACTATTTTGTTGCTCAACATACCTTTTTATAATTTAACTGTAATTTGTTAACTTTTGCGTTAATCATAGACACACGCTTAGGTTTGTAGTGTTAATTCTTTTGGTATATTGTTGGTTACTTTGCGTATTGTTATATTTTAACTAAGCTCTTTCGCTGAGGTCCACCACAAGCGTCTAAAATACATATTTCCTTATTTTTCAAGAAAAAAGTAATAATCCCTCGGATTAAAAAAATGATACTTGTTAAATTCTTGAACTGATAATTACTTTATCTTTATCAAACACACGACACTTGGTCATACCAACCTAATCTTTCTGAAATGTAATAAGAACCAATTAGATTTAAGTGCTAATATCATGTACTTTCCAGTACCTCCATTTTTATTTATACAATGCTTTAATAATGGTTAACAAGCTTCTTGAAAGATCCATAAACGTGACAGATTTGTTGCAGGCCTCGTGTAATATCTCCCTGAAATATGGATATCATTCACGTAATACGCGCACGATTGTAACGACTGAAGCTTTAAATAATCCAACTTATATTCAGAATAGAACGTGAATTTTAGGTGAGTGGGAAACTCGGTTACCGAGATAGGTGTTCATATTTACCTCGTGTATATTGACCTTTATGTCCTGCCGGGTAGTTTACTTGTTTTCTTCAGCTTTATGTTGTCTGTATCTTCCAAAACCTTCGTCAGATGCTATAGTAGTTTACTACCGTCTAACAATCTCCCCTTCAAATGACTAGAATACTTATCCAGATTAGGTTCACATTTGGCAACAGGTGCCTGTGGAAGCACAAGTAAGTACTCTTATGTGCAATCAGAAAGAACTTCCGGTCGCAAACTGGCATGCCAGACTTGCGGGTATCTCCTCCATGTCTTTTACGAAAACAACCTTAGTTCAGATTTCCTTACAATGCTGTAGACTTAAAGGAACGTCGCCCGAATATCTCGCATTCAGAAATGTATGATCCCGCGGTTGCTTGTAGGATTTGAACCCGAGTAGACGAATCAACCCTGAGGCTTAGTTTTAGATTGGTTCAAAGTACACTATTTTTTTCGACTGTGTCAAACATTCCCCCACTTCAAGCAAGAGCGAATGGGATGGGTAGGGGTGAGAACGAAAATGTTTCACGAAATCCCTAATATACGGCTGGATGAAGCTACTTGCGTCACAACACCTGATCATATAAGCTAAGGCACCTATAAATTCACTACTGACTGTCCAACTTGTATGTGATTTGGAATGCGGGTCCAAAGGACATTCAATAATCTTCAGAGTGGGAAGTTAATTCGTTGTTATCTGCCAAACTTTGAAGTTGTATCAGATTCTCATAAAGTCCTAACATATCCTTCAGACTTGAAGATTCCTTCCCACGCTTATACCATTAACAGAAAGTAACAGTTCTTAAAATATTAGTTGGTTAAAGTACGTTGTATGAAAAAAGGGGGATGACGAAATATGAGTTATAAATTCCTTCGCTTGGTTCATACCGATGACTTAAAATTTTCGACCAACTCGTTCAACTTGTCAGAAAGGCAATACATCAAAGGGAATACATAAACTTTATTTTTGGAATAAGTAATCTGCAGATAAATTATTCAAAAACGATAGACAAAAACTTTTGACAAAATCTGTAAAAATGAAATGCAATTATTTGGAACCGGTTTATAATCTAGAAGCATATATCAACTAACTAAACACCGTTTTCATTCGGCAAGGATTCGCCATTAGCATCTATGAGCTTCACCTTCTTGGAAGTTGAGTTTCCATGACCATTTAATTCAAGACTTATATTTTCTACAGATTCCACAGGTGTCGTTCCAGAAACAGGGCGCTTTTTCCTTACCAAGTGTGATATGTCATCAGTTGGAACACTAGTACCATTAGAGCACGGTTCCATTGAAGACTCCGTTTGTTTAATGCTTTCAGCTAATCGATCTTCCTCAATATCTGCACACCGACTCTGAACGTCTGGTATTAAAAGCTCTATCTCTTTAAGTGTAACTTGTAAAAGCTCTTTTTTTTCTCCATCTTTTTGGTCAACAGCTTCGATTTTTGACCTGATATCTTCAACCAACAACTTGAGACACTCAACTGAAGCTTTGAAGGAGCTGCTTGCGTCTTCTAAATCTCCCGAAACCGCATATGTCGTTCCCAGTTGGTAATGGCTCTCAGCTACACGACGATCTTTTTGACCCAAAATGGCAGTACGGATTTCTAAGCATTCCTATGGGAAAATATAGGAAAGAGAGTAATGCAATTTGGATAGGAATCACAGCTCAAGACTATCACTGTATATCCAAATCACTTTATTTCTACTTGCTGCATAGTTGGCCAACTGTATTTCTGATTTGGATTCGAAAAAGCAACCTTTTCTTATGTAATCTCGTATAAAAGCTTTTTAAGGGAGGAAACGATCCAGAACACTTAAAAACTTCAATTTCGTTGTGGATCAGTAGCTTTTTAGTCACTTTTGAAGTCTTCTACTGAAGATAATGACCATCTAATGAACACAATCTAGTTAACAACTTGGATTTTTAGATCAGAATCTACTGGCCTTGATGGTTCAAAGCTATGTCAGTTGCCACACCTCAATACTAGTCTTTAGACTTGATGTTTTCTGCTATTTACAAAAATCCACTACTAAATATGGATGACACGATGAAACTTGAATGAAAAATTGGTCAAGTTAGAAGAGCTTGACAATCTTCCCATTAAGTAATTCTTACCACTCTGTCGCTGTAGTGGACGCGTTTTGCAATAACAACCTTCAAAATAAGTACAATTAAGTCTACATCAATGGGCTGAAATTTTACATACTGACATGTTGGCAAATAGTACCAAGTCTGAAAGACAACCAGATACATAGGGAACCGACAACTGGAACCAGATAAACGATCGATATCATAGAACTAGAACAATTGTAAACTCAAAATTTTGTTCGTTTACAAAATGGTAAACTGGACTGCGAACACAATCAGAATAACGCCAGGTACAATAAAGGAAGCTAAAATACACACGGACACAAAAAGCAAGTAACTGTCTCGCATAAGTGAATGTTTGAGGTAAACTCACATTGTATAGTGATATGGCAAACAGGTGTTAATATCTTAACGACAAGCACTTGGAACCCTATGCATTGTAAATGAATTACTGACCTAAACGAGGCTATATGGAGGCCGAACGATGCTTGTATTACAAACGTTTTTAATTTTGTTAAAAAACTTGGGATTTAAAATACAAACGCTATTCCCAACCAAATCCAACTATTCACTAGAAATGCACAACGAAGTTGAAATGACCACTATTACTGTTTAACGAAACCTAAATTAACAAACCCTAAACTAAAAATCGTTGACTCGACGAACTCATTATTTATGGACAACTCCTGATAACAAAACCTATGCTGTGTTTCGTCGTTAAAGTCAAACGATAAATAAAAATGGACAAACGAAATACCTTTAGGTCCATTACTGCTTGGTCATAGTCTTCTTTCTCGCGACTAATCTCACCAAGCTTTTCTAGGCACTCAGCAACATTCAGCTTGCTTTCCTCGTCATCTTTTTGTGAGAACAGCTTTTTGGCTACTTCAATAACCTCCCAAGCGATTTGGAGATTCGACACATCACCTTCATCATCACATTTAGCAGCTTCCGAGTCCGTGGGATTATTCTGGAGCTCATCTTGGTCCTCAGGCTCGTCCCCCTCAGATTCATTTGATTCGCCATCCTCAGCTTCCTCGACAGCGTCATCCGTCGGATTATCAACAGCAGTATCATTTCTGCTTACAGCTTCAATGTCTTTACTGGGAGCATCATTTCCGCCTACAGCTTCAATGTCTTCACTAGGAGCACCATCCTCTTTGGTTTCACTGTTTTCCTGATTGTCTTCTTCACACATAGCATCTATGACTTGATTGGAAATATCTTCCTTTTCTTCAGCTAAAGAAAATGAGATATCACGTGCCAACTTACTTGTCAACTCAGGCCCAGGTTCAATGATCTCATTATCCGATTCTGAATCATCTTTGACTGGATCCGGTACTAATCACGTTGGGTCAAATCATTCATACTTACTCCCATCCAATGCGTTCCCGATAACTGAACTTTCTATTCGTGATAGCTCGAGAAGTGCAGTACCATACAGTAAGTTAGGGACAGCAAGAGCTTCATGAAAGTCACCATGTATTGTCGACCTGTTAAATATGCAACATTATCAAGACTCACAGAGTTTCACAAGCTTTCTGAAAATTGTCTACTGCCTTGCTAATATCACCACATACTAAATCTCTCCTTCCTTGAGTGATTAAATCTTCCGGTCCAAGCTCCATGTAAACACTTCCAATACAAATAAGGCGCCGTGGCTTGATATCCAAACTAGTAACAAGTTTTCATTGCATTCTCAATGTCCACGATACCTAATGTTGTCGTAACAGACTGACATAAGCTTACATACTTCTTTGTATTTGAATTTAAGTGTAGGAAAACAACTAATATGGTAATACGGTATATACAGAACGATATTTAAAAGAACAGTGATTTCCTTCCTCTAACAGTTAAACTTATGGTTTTGATCGATCATTATTCTTACCTTGATTGAATCAATTTCTACTAACGTAACGTATTTTCCTTCGAAAGCAATCGCGTATATTTGCTTTTGCTAAATACATTGACTTTTTCCTGTTTGTTGCAATTTTGAAAGTCCGGAAAATGTGGGTGACCGGGCAGACCAATCAAATAGCAACGGAAATGAGGAGATACAACTTGGCTGTTCTGAGAATTAGCAAAATACATTGGACTCTAACTAGGCAGCAAAGGTTAGATATGGAAGAGGTGATGTTGTACACCGGTCACGAAGAAAGAAATCCTCCATACACACAGGGAGTTGCTCTGATGCAGTTCAGAGATGAATGAAACACACTCATAGGATGGGAATCTCATGCAGTCGGGATCATCATTAGCATCCTTCAAAACAAAGAAGGAGGAAATCACAGTGAATGTTACTCATAACATTGAGTAGTAATGACGTCTATAAAAATCAGTTCTACTCGAGGATGCATTCGATCATAGAGATCTGTCCAGGAAAGGGCTTGACAATCGTGATTGGAGATCGAAACGTCAAGGCCGGAATAGACGAAACTGCGTATGAAGATATCATGAGACGATATTGGCTAGGAGAAAGGAATGCGAATGATGAGGGATTTGTCAAATGATGTGTGTTCAACAAATTGGTTATAAGAGGTGCTATATTCCTCCACAAACACATACACAAAGCTACATGGGTTTCAACCAACCACAGAGAACCAGATAGATAATATTTGCATCAATTGAAAAGTCACAGAGTCGACGGATGACGTGAGAACAAGAAGAAGAACTGAAAAAGCTTCAGATCATCACTTAGTGGTTGTAAAGGCCAAACTGAAGCTAAAAAAAACACGAGACTAATAAAGAAACAACATTACGAAAGTTTAATACAACCTTCCTTCCGGATATTGACAAATTCAACGAATTCAAGATAACTCTCAGCAACATGTTCCAAATCATCCACAAACAGCTTTTATCATTTTTACTTTCGGCTAGTCTGATTAGCTCATCCCAAAACGGGTTTATAACTAAACGCTCATGCTTCACATCGCACCTGGAATTCTATGATCAAATTACCCAGAGAAGAGATGCTGGTCAGTGAGTGATAGTTCTGTACTTCGACTTTAGTAAGGCTTTCGACAGCGTCTCACACAAACGTCTTATAAAACTCTCTTCATCCGGCATACAGAATCCCCTTTTATCTTGGCTCAAATCTTTTTTAGAAGAGCGTAGCCAAATTGTCCGCTTCGGATCTTGCTACTTCAAACCTGTGAATGTAACCAGTGGGGTTATACAATGAAGTGTGATTGGTCCGTTACTCTTCCTCCTTTTCATCAATGACGTGTGTACCCTCTTTCAATATGGTAAAACTTTTCTTTTTGTCGATGAACTAAAAGTGGTTTATTCAATTTCCTCTCCCACCAAAGAAAGCTACATTTCAGCGGTAATCCAAGAACAAACAAGTTTTACGGATGGACTTTTTCGTAGAATCTGTAACTTAATGTTGACAAATGTGGATTTATGCACACTGGTCGCTGCCTTAACCTAAATCTGGTTATACAAAAATATACACTGAAACCTCTCATCATTGTTCATGACTTAGGTTGGAGATATAGCAACAGTTTGAACTTTTCAGAGCACATTGCATCTCAAGTATCCAAAGCTAAAAAGCTCATTGGATTCATAATGATAAACTTCAATAATATGGAATAGAGATTATTATTATACAAAAATGTATTTTACCCATTCTTGAATACGGTATTTTAGTTTACAGTAATTGCAGGCATAATGATCTGATCAAAATTGAAGGTGTTCAAAGAAGGTTCATTAAGGCTGTTTTGGGGTATTTTGATGACGAAACTATCACCAAAGATTTCAACAACTCAAAATAGGACCTCTCTGGATCAAATTAAATCTTATCTTTATCTACCGGCCTATTCACGGTATTTCCTACTCCTTGGTATCCACCCCTTCATACTCTATGATATCATCCCACAATCTACACAATAAAGAAAATATTCTAGTGATCTCAGGATCCCACACAAACTTACGCCAGAACTTTTTCGTTATCCGCTACTCAACCATGTGGAACAAACTGCCAGTAAACCTACGTTGCAGTGAAACTACAACTCGGTTCCGGAGTCTCCTTGATGATTTTCTTTCCGATAGTGGATTGTGTCACATATTGAATATCAACGTGCTCAATAATGATTTATATAAACAAGGTCCGTCACCTATCTAATTGACTGAAGAGCAAAGTGAAACCTTCTAAACTTCTCACGTCTATTTTCCTTTCTTTCCATCCATTTTAATATATGAAGTCTGCTTATGTTCATATTTGTAATCACTACTGTTATTAATAACATTATTTGTCCCTCGACACATTAGATATTATTCTCATCTCTTCTTGTCCTTCTAAACATATTTTATTCCTTAACATCCAAAGTCTATAACTAAAAACCAAAAAAGTAGTCCTATGTTACAATTAAGCGAATTAACTTCTCGGACTCATTTTTATTTTCACCACACATATGATACACATGGAAATTTATATTTGATTATCCTTTGCAATTATTTGTGACTATCGTAGAATCATTCTAAATTACTATTGCACAAATGTCTATACTAGTATCCGGTTTCACTCTGTATACTGTTACATAAATTTACATGTATTTATTCGAGTGCACTAAAGGATTATTATTACTTTTTTTAATTGTTGGTTTACTTCAGAGGCCTATATTCAATACGCTATTATTATCATTCTTGAACCCTTTCACTAGCTGTTCATTTCTTTTCTCTCTTTTTTCCTTCTAAATAAGTATTATTCTTAAGATTACGAAGTCTATGGTTAAGACAATAACTTGCATTACGCTCAAATCTTCACTATGCATATACAATTCATACGTATTGATTATCCTTTGCACTTAGTTGGGACTATCATAGCATCACTCCAACTTATGACTTCATAAACATTTATTCTAACGTCATATCTTACAACAATAATAAGTTATTTACTTATTAATTTATTTTATTTTTATTTCTCATTTGGCGAAACATACATAGTCGTTTATTCTTGTTCTGTGGTCATAAACACGCTTATTGAACCATTTACATATTTCGCGTCACCTTTATTTCTATTTCCTTAGTTTCTTTCTTTCCTTCTTTAAAATATTTCAATATTCTTCTCAATTACATGGAACCCGGTTTAATATTATTTTATTATTAATACTTTATTTTTTTCTTTCTTTTCTCTTTTTCAAATATGGCAAGTATAATGCTAACCTTATTCGAACTTGTGTATTATTGCATTTTTGAAGAAACTCGAAATGGTTTCTTCACAATGCTTATTTACCCATAAGATGTTTGTGAATAATGATAATATCTCTGAGAACTAAGGAGACTACATTAACTGTTGGCTTTCATAGGACAGGTATAATCTAAAACACATGTTTTAGTTCACTTTGTTTATGATATCATGCTATTAGCCCTTGATTTGCTTTTTTGGATTAATATTTAGCAAACATGACTGGACGTCCATTCTCACCATTGTCTATAGTAAGAGGTTTAAAATATTAGCAGATATATCACTTATATTAGCAAGCTATTTTTACCCACTTTCAGTTATGATCGATCATGTACGGACCAAAACGCAATATTACGGATCAATATTGAGCGTTCGATTGAATAAAATTCTCCAACACACCACAACTCCGTCAACAATGAGAAAGCGCTCAACAAAATGGGTAAGAGGATTTTATGGAAATTTTATAGACACTATGGTGTACCCTGAGAGCTTCTTCAATATAATATGGAATTCATACGACGGACAAACAGTTACCTATGCCAAATATTCAACGTTCGTTAGCCAGATATCATCGTCAACAATCTACTATGGCGAAGAAAGAACCAACTCCCAGCCGGAGAGGGAATTAAAGAAAGACCATGAAGGAGGGTAGGACATACATGGCTGACATCGTCAAACTACATCACGAGGCGAGCCCTTATTTAGAATTCTGACGGCAAAAGATAAAGTAGAAGGCTCAAACACACATTGCTTTGAGACAGTAGTAATTAGCTAAGTGTCTTCTCCTCACCCTATTGACCGGTTTAGTAGGTGTGTACTCCCAGTATCTTGACAGTCTGGATCGTATCATTGATATATCGAACCGTATGGGAAGAGGTTCAGCTAACGAATTCGACAGAGCTTTCATAACACTAAGGTGAATATCATCAGGACCACTAGAAATATCTGGTTTGAGAAGTTGACTTAATCGTAAGAGAATTTCTTTCTCAGTGACCACAGGATCCATCGACACGCTGCCATGATCACGAGTAACTGTTGGTCGGTCGTCGTCGACAGTAGAAAACACTTCACTAAAGTATTCTGATGAAGCTTCAGCTTTTGCAACATCGATTCTCGCAAATATCAACGGGTTTCTTTGTGTCGAAATTGGTGATGTTACGACACATCTCTGAGTTCGACTCTTTGTATTAGAGTGCAACTCGTTCTGAACTATTTTCACATTTTCTACCCGATTTGTTTTTCATACGAAGTCCTAACCTTAATGGATAATGCTATGCATGCATTTCAAGTCTCGCATTGTGTGTGTCTGAACTTTTCGGAGGGTGAATATTTAAAAATGTTTGGGTTTGGGTACTTGATTTACTGGGCATGCTCCTTTACAGTTATCGGGAGCCTACTACGGAAAGATTTCCGATACTACGGCGTCCATCTCATTTCAACTAATATCAGGTGCATTAAGATCTCCTAGTTTCAGATATCCGTTACTTTTACTCCATAGATGAATAAGCTCTGAAATAAAGCCATCAACCAATCAGACGGGGCTACTATAGATGACATGGAGTATAGATGTATAACATTCAAATATGAGTTCACAGATAGTGACTTTACAAGTTCCACTGTCATGGGATTCGCAAACGAAAGAACGGATGTTAACATTATTACTTGCGTATATATGAACCTCATGTCATTTCTGTTACGTCTAGCCTATTGTGAA